ATGCGCGAATCAAATGGGTTTCTTGGGTTAGTCATTTGCGGGGTGAACATAAATACAAAAAAACTTTTGGTAGCACTAACTCTTCGACGGGTCTCATTGAGCTCCTGTTGGACGTTCCAGGGACGTCGGTGGTGAACGACAAGCGTATGGAAAATACGAATTAGCAATAGTCAAAGAGGGATTATCACTATGGACGTTTACAAAGCATCACAAATGGCAGCACCCATGAGCTGATGCTGGGCACAAACCTACCTGCTTTCGGCCAGCGCTAATTACGACACGACCGCCCAATGTGGACGTCGTGTTGGCATCGACTCCGAGGGTGTCGATGTCCTCCAGAGCCATGACCTGCTTCACCAGCGACATGCTGGACATGGCCATTACGGATGTGAGTTCCTTGGAGACAGTGTCGCGGTTCTTCTCCAGGAATCCGTTCACGTCATACTCCACAGTATCCGAAAAGTGTTTGATGAAGAAGCCTTTAAATTTGGAATGGGAATGTGATTGGGGATTATGGAATTACGAGAACACTCACTTGTGCTGCCAAAACGAGGTTTCTCAAAGTGTGGAAACTTGCTGCACTTGCCGATTAGTTTTCCGGCCCAACTCTCGTCGGAACCCTTGGGCATCTGAGGAAGATTCATTCATACATTGTAAATTTCAATTTAAAAGCAGTTAAGTATGATAAATGCATAACCTGTGGGGGTAAATCTTACCCTACATTCCTCGTCGAGAAGATCGAGTACACCCAGACGGGACTCGATCAAATCGATGCATGGCTGGTTGTCGTAGAAGTCGATCATGGTCCAGGTAATACCCTCCTTGAGGTACTCCTCCTGTTCGAGCTTGAAGACGTGCTGGTTGAACTGCTGCTGGAGCTTCTCGTTTGCATAGTTTATGCAAAACTGTTCAAACGAGTTCACCTCAAACGTTTCAAAGCCGTAGATATCGAGCACGCCAATGAAGCTGCACTGCTTGCTACCGTTGTTGAGGCTCTTGTTCAGCACACCGCCGATATACTGAAACAGTTTGGCGTATATGTGCTTGGCCAACGCATCGCGCGCCGCCTGCCCGGCCTCAACGCTGTTCGGTATCAGCACATGTTCATTGACCGACTCTATCTGACGCATTACGAGCCAGCGGCGGAGATCTTCCGTCTTCACACGCAGCAGATCCCCAGTAATCTGCAGATGAATATCGTTGTGCTGCGCAAAAAGATGTCAGATGTAAGATGCTTCTCAAGTTAAGCTAAGTACCCGCTTACGGATATTTCACAGGAGTCAGTGTCTTCCTCTTCGCTGCCCTCGGTGTATTTCTTGGCGACTTCAATGTTTCCCAGATGCAGAATTCCAGCCAGTATCTTTACAATCTCAGCTATCTGCTGGAATGAGAAGCCCAGCACTGTCATGGCCTGTGCAGTCTCGTTGAACTGATCGGCATCCGAGACCCGTTCGATGTCCGGGGCCCCACCCATGTTCAGGAACTGAAACTTGTCCTGGTGGTCTGTGGGAGGAGGGTGAAATCCTCAATCAGATTAGTCTGTCATAAGTGAGATCACTCCACTTACCCAGCAACAGTTCAGGGTACTTGGCCCGCGCCGCACAAAGCTGATAGAAGATGTGATAGTTGCGCTCCCCCTGCGCCTGGTACACCACGCGCGACTTCTCCAGTAGATAGGTGTGAACGGTGGCGCCCTGCAGGTACATCACACCCATCTGGTTCTTGAAGAGCAGCTTGGTGAACTTGCCAAAGCGCGAGCTGTTGTCGTTCCGCGTGGTCTTCGCATTGCCAAAGGCCTCCATGATCGGCGAAGATGCCAGCACCTTGCGCTCGACCTGCGTCTCGGATTCGGAGCCGCCAACGGCGGCAAAGTAGCGCATGGCGTACTTGGCGGACACCGTCTTGCCTGCCCCCGACTCGCCGCTCACAATGATGCTCAGGTTGCAGTTCTCCCGCTCCAGCTTAGTGTAGGCCTCCTCGGCCAGGGCGAATATGTGCGGCTCCAGATCTCCCATGGACTGACCGCGATACGCTCGGATTATACTGGGCCCATACAGGGGCATCTCCGCGTACGGATTGATGGCCACCAGTATGATGCCGCAGTAGGTGTAGATAATCTGGCGCTCGCAGAAGCGAACGCGCAGATTGTACAACACCCCGGGCTCATGCAGGTACGAGAGGGTTGTGAGATCATTTTGGCCAACTAGAATGGCCGGATTGCGCAGCGGGGGCAGGTTGCTTCCATCGGGCTTTAGCTTGAACTCCTTGAGGCTGCCCGATTCAGTGCAGATCTTCAGAAAGCCCGCTCCCTTGCGGTAGTTCTCCTCCAAGGTGGCACTCTCCCACACCTTTTCCGCATGGGTCACCCAGATCTTGGCCCCCTGCATAAAGAGAATGGAGTGAACGTCATTAAGCATGATCGTCATAAACCGGTTTTCTCCTGGTTTCATCCTCATCCGCTGCGTCATCTGTGTACCTGTGCCAGCACGCACAGAGCTCTGTTTGTGTGCACTTATCGACGCTTATCAGAGACTCGACTGATAAGACTGGTGATTCATTCCCAAATAGTTATATTTGGTGCAGTCACTGACTGGGTGACATCAATACCCATCACCTGTCACGGAAAGGGCTAATAGAGCAAGAACACACTGCTTGTAGAATGAAGAAATGTGAAAAACGAAAATGGCGCAAACACACGAGAGAACACACAGACACACACACGCTGGCAAAGCAGAATTCACGTTATGTATGCATTTTTATTAGCCCCCCATTCTTAGCACTATTGGCGTCCTAAGCCGATACCGACACCGACAACGACACCGCCGCAATTTGCCAACAATGCACTTGTAGGGCATCAATATAATGTGCGGAATGGAATACCTTTGCATATAGCATCTCCTCGCTCGACATGGTTCCGTTACGTTCTCCTCTGCACTAATCACAAATCCACAGCACTGGCTTCGTTGTGCATAAAAACCCGTTAGCTTTATCAGGCTGAAGCTGCCAATGCGCTGGATTTTTCTGATACGATGTACGTTCCTTGTGATTCCAATTGGATTCCCTTCCACTTCAAACAAACACTTTGTGTGCACACGATGTTCAGATGACCATGTTTCGGTTCGCCTTTTCTTTTAGGTATCTTAATTTTACAGCCGAAACTTAATTTTTAAATTTAGTGTAGTAAATTAACTACATTGGTAATTCAACGATAACGAAAATAAATAAGAAAAGCAAATATAACTTGCCACCCGTCTACTTGGCTGACAATCAATGTGTTGTTGCTGTTGTTGTTGTTGTACTAAGGGCAGTGTTGCCAAAGGGCCCGCGGCTCTCAATTACATTCACGAAAGTGCTTCATTTTTCTTGATGCACATTTAAAAATGCAATATTTAATTAAATTCGTTGTATTTTGTTAAATTATGATTTAATTATATAGGACGAACACGAATGTGGCGCGAACAGGAATTTACAAACGTTGCCCAGCACTTACCAGAATGTAATTTCCAGCACTGAGAACATCTGCCAATTTTTCCCGCGCTTTAGTCTGGAAGAACCAGCGAGGCATAGCACAAAAAAAATATTAAAACAAACTTCAGTTTCGGTTATTAAACAACAGAAAAGGAAAATCAACTTATTCTGAAATGTCAAGCCCCACTCGATCGCCCAGTGTTGGATCTGCTACCCCAAAGCACGGAGCGGGAGTCCGCACACCAACAAGAGGTAAATAGAGCAGCTGCCCAGCCAGCCGACTATTCCATAAATTCCATACTCCCGTCAAATGTAGGAATTGCCACGCAGGATGTGGAGACACCAATGCGAATGGGTCCTGGTCGTGCAGCCAGGCCATCGGACAACATCAGTTTGCCCCCCACATCGCCGGGAAATATTAGCCTGCCTGCAACGAGTCCCGCGCGCGGTCTCGGGGCCAACATGAGTGAGATTGATCTGAGCTCACCCCTGAACTACGGCACGCCCAGCTCCATGGGATCCATTCGCACGCCACGGTCGGGCATTCGCGGCACTCCGCTACGTGCGCGTCCCGACATCCGGACAGACAAGCGAATTCGCCAAGTGGCCATTGGTGGCGGCTCTGGAGTGAGTAGCTCATGTCAGGAGGTGACATTTCTGAACATCTTCTGAAACTATACTTCTGTTGCAGTTGGAACCAATACCCGAAAAGGGCTCAGAGACCACTGATCCCGTTTCGGAGTCTTCGCAAGCTCCCCAGCTTGTGGTCTGGGGCACCAATGTGGTTGTGAGCCAGTGCAAGTCGAAGTTCAAGTCGTTCATCATGCGCTTCATCGATCCGACCGCCGAGCAGGATGAAATCTCAGAGAACATAGACGTCAATCAACCGCTGTATCTGCAAAAGCTCGAGGAGATTCACACACTGGAGGAGCCGTATCTCAATCTGAACAGTGCCCATCTGAAGACCTTTGATCAGGACTTGTACCGCCAGCTGATCTGCTATCCGCAGGAGGTGATTCCCGGCTTCGACATGGCCATTAACGAGATGTTCTTCGAACTGTACCCGGCCGCCCTACTGGAGCACCAGATACAGGTGCGCCCCTTCAATGCCGACAAGACGCGCAACATGCGATCCCTCAATCCCGAGGACATGGATCAACTGATCAGCATTTGCGGCATGGTCATCCGCTCCTCGAACATCATACCAGAGATGCGGGAAGCCTTCTTCAGCTGCAACATCTGCTCCTTCAGCACCACAGTCGAGGTGGATCGTGGTCGCATTTCGCAGCCAACGTTGTGCACCAACTGCAACACCAATCACTGCTTTCGTCTCATCCACAATCGGTCCGAGTTTACGGACAAACAGCTCATCAAGCTGCAGGAATCGCCCGACGACATGGCTGCTGGCCAGACGCCCCACAATGTCCTTCTCTATGCCCACAACGATCTCGTCGACAAGGTCCAGCCCGGCGATCGTGTCACGGTTACTGGCATCTATCGGGCCACCCCCCTCAGGGGCAATGGCCAGCAAGTGAAGAGCGTCTACAAGACCCACGTCGATGTTGTTCACTTCCGTAAAGTGGACAATAAGCGTCTGTACGAGGAGGAGGAAGGGTACGCTGCGTGATCTTGTCTTCCCAAAGCACAAGCTGACACATTTGTGTGTAATTATTTATCCATTGCAGGAAAGATCACATTTTCCCTCCAGAGCGCGTTGAGTTGCTGCAGTTGCTGGCCAAGAAACCGGATATTTACGATCGGCTGGCCAGGGCCATTGCCCCCTCCATTTATGAGAACGACGACATCAAGAAGGGAGTCCTACTGCAGCTGTTCGGTGGCACCAAGAAGAAACACGCGACCCTGGGACGCCAGAACTTTAGGTCGGAGATCCACCTTCTGCTCTGCGGTGATCCGGGCACATCAAAGTCACAAATGCTTCAGTACGTCTACAATCTAGTGCCGCGCTCACAGTACACCTCGGGACGGGGTTCTTCTGCCGTCGGCTTGACCGCCTATGTGACCAAGGATCCAGAAACACGCCAGCTGGTGCTGCAGACGTAAATATTCTTCATACCTGGCCCCTGGCTGCGTGCTAAATAAATGTAAATGTTATTGCAGGGGCGCTCTTGTGCTGGCCGACAATGGTGTCTGTTGCATCGACGAGTTCGACAAAATGAACGACTCGACCCGCAGTGTTCTGCACGAGGTAATGGAGCAGCAGACGCTGAGCATTGCCAAGGCAGGAATCATCTGTCAGCTGAATGCACGCACCTCGATACTCGCAGCGGCGAATCCCGCCGAGTCGCAGTGGAACAAGCGCAAAAACATCATCGACAACGTACAGTTGCCACACACTTTGCTCTCGCGGTTCGATTTGATTTTCTTGGTGCTGGACCCACAGGACGAGATATTCGACAAGCGTTTGGCCAGCCATTTGGTCTCACTCTACTACGTGACCAGGCACGAGGAAGAGGATACCATGTTTGTAAGCAAAATATCTTTTCATTTTGTATTTTTGTGCTAGTTTTGAACTCTTTTCATGTCTACAGGATATGAGTGTGCTGCGCGATTACATTGCCTATGCCCGCGAACATTTGTCACCCACTTTGTCGGACGAGGCGCAGCAGCGCCTGATCCAAGCCTACGTTGACATGCGGAAGGTTGGTGCTGGTCGTGGACAGATCTCGGCCTACCCCCGCCAGCTGGAGAGCCTAATACGGCTGTCGGAAGCCCATGCCAAGGTACGGCTCAGCAATGAGGTTGAGTTGCTGGACGTCGAGGAGGCCTGGCGACTGCATCGCGAGGCCCTGAAGCAATCGGCAACGGATCCTCTGTCTGGCAAAATCGATGTAGGCATATTGACCACTGGTCTCTCTACGGCGGCCCGCAAGAAGCGTGCAGATCTAGTGGCAGCCATTAAGGAGAACTTGAAGAAGAAGGGCAAAGTTCCTACCGTTCCCTATCAAAAACTTTTCAAGGAGATAAAGGAGGGCTCCCAAATTGTAAGTGCCAAGCCACTTGTTGGTTGCTTTTGCTATAATAATTGTATTCCCTTTCAGCTAATCACACGCGAACAGTTTGAGGATGCCCTGAAGGAAGTGCAGGACGAAGGTGCCATTGTTGTAATGGGAAAAAATACAATTCGCATTTGTTAATTCTTTTTCGGTTAATGCCAATCACTAAACTCATTCATTCCCAGCATCATTACAAAATCATTTAACACTACAAATACAAATTAAAATACCTCTACAAACATACCTGCTATTTAGTACCCTGTGTTTACAGATGCGAATTGGACAAACAATATTTTGGCGCAAATTTTTCCAATCTTCGGCCGATATCTGTCTACCATCACTAATTGTGTTGGTTTCGATATGTATATATATACATATTGCGGCTATCGATTAGTCTGATGGCCACAATAACCCAACAGCTGATACGACTCTTTTTGGCGTTTTTCCTTTGGTGGATTAGTTTATCGTTCTCTCCGCTTCATTAATTTCAATCGTGTGTAACAAGCGGGACATAAGTTTGTTCAAACAGTCTAAGGTGTGTGAATATGAAAAAACTAGAGGCAGGCAATTCAACGGAAAGGTAAAATAAGCAACTTTGGAATGGAGTGTGGCAAGTCGACAGAGCATTCGTCACGTAGCGCCTCAGAGGCATCGGCGGACTCCGGGAGCCTGCTGAACAGTGATCTCGTAATGCCGGGTCGCGAGCTTACACTAACGCCCACAAAGCGGGAACGGCGAAAATCGCCAGCCACCAGCTCTGATAACACAAGTACCAGCGTTCAGGCTCCCATGTCGCCGACATCCTCGCTGGCGGACACAACGTTCGAGCCCACCATTGACATGATGGTGAATGACTTTGACGACGAGGCCACATTGAACGAGGAAGAGGCGCTGGCCAACTTGGAGGCGCTCAATCCGGACGACGAGATTGCCACGCTCAGGGAGGAGAGCGAAATGCCCATTGAGGAACTGCTGGCCAAATACAGCATGGCGCCCTCGCCGGCTGCCAGCAGCTCGAAGCGATCGAGCGGCTCAAGGCGGCGTCGAGCCACGAAGCGGCAGTACCAGGAGCTAGACACAGAAACAGCCCACGCATCCACATCCTGCGCCGTTGCAGCACAGCAGGAGAAGGTCAATGATTTCCTTGATCAGTGCCAAGACCCAGGAGTTGGCCCCTCAAAAGAGAACACATCGCCCAGCTCTCAGCGCAATAAGAGTCCCATGGAGACAGATGAACCGCAGGCTATTTTATCGCCTGATGTCACAAAGAAACCGCATCGCTCCCACTTACTGGATCTCTATCCTGATGAGTCCTTCGGGGAAAGTCCCCCAATTATCGGGCCCCTGGAGGAGCTGGAAAGTTGTAAGTTTTGGATTCGGCTAATGTCTGACTGTTGGATCGAAGATTTCATTGTTGTGTTGTATTCATTTCAGTCACACCGCTTCAGGCGCTCTTCGAAGAAGTTGAGGTCGACGATGACGACGAAGACTCGGATAACGAATCAGATGACGCGAGGAAGATTATCATGGTTGGAACGGACTACCAAGCTGACATTCCCGAGGGTCTCTCCCAGTACGGAGACATATTGCCGTACGAAAATGAGGATCTTTTAATTTGGGAGCCGAGCCAAGTCTCTGAGAGGGAAGTGGAGGAATATTTGGCAAAGATCCAAGAGACCCGAGCCTTGCCACCGCTGGAAGAGGGCGCTGAAGCTCTGGCCAGCGACGAGCAGCCCTCAGCACTTCCCGCCCCGTTAGTTCCGCAAAGAGTTCAGCAAGCGCCAAATGCTGCCAGCGACGGAGAGACGCTGGCTGTGGTAAAGGACAACGAGCAGGCCCTGCATTTACTGGTCCAGTGTGGCTATGACTTCAATGAGGCACTGCGGCGCAAGCGGTTGAATGTGCTGCCCCTGAGCGACACCATGAGCAGCTGGTCCGAGGAGGAGTGCCTCAAGTTTGAGGAGGGAATACACAAGTATGGCAAGGACTTTTATCAGATACGCCAGAATCAGGTAAAGGGCTGCTCACCGTCTCCTAGCGATTAATTAGTGGGATGGTTGGGGTCTTTCAGGTGCGCACAAGAACCATGCGCGAACTGGTCCACTTCTATTACCTTTGGAAAAAGAGCGAGCGCCGAGATCAGAGCTTTGCGCTGAACGACACCATCGATCACATGGATGTATTCCTCAACGAAGCTGGCACTACCAGTGGAATCGGTAATGGCAATGGAAACGGCAACGGGAATAGAAACGGCAGCTGTTCCCCACACAGCAGCAACGGCCACAGCAATGGGGAGCACGCACTGGATAAGGACACGACTTGCTCGTCGCGAAAGCCCTCCTCGAAGAGCTACTCCATTATGACTGGTGGCATTCCCCAACCTGCAGGTGGTGCTGCCGGGACAATTAGCAAGCGTACCACGCCCGCACCCATGACCCTGGAAGACAGAGAAGATAAGGAGGAGGAAGCCTACCAGGTGACCATTTAAGTGAAATATGTACATAAGCAGGAAGGGCAGCCGATCTAAGGAAAAACGGCAGCTAGCATAGGGGACTGGCTCCGACAGCATCCATCTATCTTTGAGCGCAGGCGCTTTCGTCTGGGTCAGGAAGGGCAGGGTAGGGGAAGGCGTAGTAGTAAGCAAAAGGTTCCATTACCATTACCACTATAAATACATGTATGTACATGTGCATGTACATAAATATGTACATATGTACGTGTAGGATACAATACATATGTATATCTAAAAATATATATTATTCCAGATTCTTAAATCGATATTTCGTAATGTTAATCATATGAATGTCTATTTGTTACAAGTCCTAATAGATTGCGAAATCCGAGTACTTATGGCTTATTAAATACGTACATATGTATCTACATATGTATGAATACAATATTTGTATTTTCGCTTAATCCTTAAGTTTCGTTGAATGTGTCAATAAATATAATCTAAATGTATGTATGTATGCATACATCTGCTTTCGGCTCGTTTTTAGATATGATTCGAGGATTAAATGTCAGAGAACAAACAAACCCAGTCGCCAATTGCCAAGTTTGCTTCACTTGCATTTTCGCTGAAAGCTAGCATGAAAAGAAGAGCCGAACCCCAAAACGTACGTACACACAAACACACCCACATGCACAGGCAGTGAGCTGTGATAGGACGGACAAACATACAAACAGACAGACAACATCCCGTCCCAGGGCCCTGGGATACCTACCGATCGTGCCAGCAAACCGAAGATGGGGCTTTCGACTCGGTATACTAGCAAGCTGGCACATTCTTGTGTGTGCGTATTCTCTCTTTTTTCCCGAACGCGCTCCGCTCCGTAGCGTGAATATTTTACGTTCACTCCATCTCCATTTCCATGCAGTCCAGCCGACCGTAGTAAAATCCAGTTTTGATAAAAATAAACAAAGCGCAACAAGTACGCTACACTCCGTTTTGTAAGCATTTAAGACAGCCCGAAAAGGACCGTTGGTCTCAATAACAGTGTCTCCCGTTGCAGGACTCTGTAGGGTCCACTGGTATCGATTTGCACTGGAGGAGGTGTGCAGTGTGTGCTTGAGGAGGTGATTGGCTTTGGCAGGGTGGGAGTTGACGGAGCAGAGCACATTGGATTCGCTACGGCCTCACATCAGTGTATACGACAGCGTAAGTTAACAACCGTAAAGCGCAGCGAGCCGCTGCGAGCTGCCATACCAGCGGAAGCTTTACATCCGGACAATATTGCTGATGCCAGTTTGCGGCAAAGCCTGTTGCTGTGCGCCCGTTCTGCCTGCGCTCTCTTCTCGGTTTTCTTTGGACTCGCCTTCGCCATTGCCAGTGCCTCGCCTGAGAGCCAAAAGGCACGGCACGTAAACTGGTTGGACCGTACCCGTATTTTTCAGTTTTCAGTGCTGTTTCTGCGCTTGAGCTGCGTGCGTCGCTACTCGACTCGTCGTCGCAGTATGGAGGCAGCTTACAACAATGCGTCATCATCTTCGGCCTCGCCGCCCGCGTTCTCCTCCTCCTTCGCCTTCACGAACACCGCCAAGTTGCCAATAGAGACGGTGAAGCGTCTCATTGCGGCAGTCTCTCGCCGCCCAATGCTTTGGTTGCGAAATAACGTCAGTGGTCAAAAGCGCAGCGACATTACGCCAATTTGGTTTGAGGTTGGCCAGGATGTGAACTTACCAGGTGAGAAAGAGAGAGAGTGAGTGAGATAGAGAGAGAGAAAGATGGAGAGCGAGCAATGAGTGTATGTACCTCGTACATGGCAATACATACATATACATACATGTGTATGAACATATGAACGAATGTGGCTTGATGTTTGGTGCTGCCCACATAGACATGCCAACTCAGTTTAATCACGATCGTCGTTGTTCCCTTCTCCCCCCCCCCCCCCCCCCCCCCCCCCCCCCCACTACACCCCCCCCCCCCCTCCCCCTTACTCCCCCGATCTTTCCGACACCTACACCCACGCTCGCAGCTCGCCCTCTCTAGT